AGGCTGCTAATATATGTTGGGGGGGGGGGGGGGGGGGGGGGGTATTGAATCGACTTGTGCGGGGGGCCTTTGGAGCCACACTCAGGGCCGGATACTTCTGCCACGGAGACGACGTAAAGTAACGCAGCCAAAATGAAAGGGATGATTTGTACTGTAATATTAACAACACAAGCCAGGCTTTGTTCCTGCATCTGTGCGACTGAACGTGTAATTACGCATGTCACAATTAAATTCTTGGCGGGGTTTCCGACGAATAATTAGGCTGTCATGAAAAACGTCAAAATATTGACAGTACAAGGGGGCGCTCACGTCAAATTGTGGATGTCTTTTTTCCCTCCTGATTGTCTTTCGCGTGGGATTAAATTCCTCATCTCAGAAGAAACGCGAGCGAAGGAACCAAATCGTTCAGCAGAGACGGCCCTGAAAAAGATCTGATTTCCCTTCAGAGCCTGGAGGAAAAGGTTCACCACGGAGACACACACCAGGTCCTGTTTGCTCTTGGTGTTCACTTCAGGAAGAAAGGGTTCTCTTCAGCGGCGCACAATGAAAGCCATGTTCACGGGTGGAATTGCAAACTTCTATAACAATACCCATGTGTGTTTTTACACTGTAATCTGATCATCTAACCCCCATGCAATTTCAGGTTCAAGGGTCTTGACTGTGGGAGTGTGGCTCATGTTAGGGCGCAGCAAAGATTCACATGGAGACAATCTGTCACTGCAACAACAGCAGCGTGATGCGTGTCTCTGTGTTGTTGTTGGATACGTCTTTGTTTGTAGAGAAAGACAGCAAAGTACAAACAGTCAGTGTAGTCTGTGTGTGTGTGCGTGTGTGTCTGTCTGTCTACGACTTTGAATTTTGACTAAATTATCACCTCAGAACTTTTTCAATTTTAGATTAGTTTGTGTCAAAGAAATATCAAAACTATTTTGGTTCAGACATCTAAAATGCAATGTGTAATATTTTCATTTAGCAAAAGTTTATATTTGTAAAATCTTAATTGAACTTTAATAGTATTGCATTTGGGAATATAAATGTAATAAGATTTAATTTAATTAGGAAATTTAAATATTGCTTGTTTTATTTAGTTATTTTTTGAATTCACAAGTACTGTGGTTGTTTGTGCACCTTACTTTGAGAATCGCAGAACAAAACAATTCTCTCTAACCTCCATAATTCTAAATTGAAATAAAAAGAGACCTTGGTTTGGAGACACCATAGCTAACTCATATGTATACTGATGCATTGGTAGCCACACGATAAAAGTAGTGATTCTATTGAAAATATAATGTGTAAGAAGAATTTGGCGTCTACATGTACGGCGCGCTCTGTCTTGAGTCAAAGTCACGTGTGCTCAGAGTTCAGTGAATGTCACCAGAACACATGACCTTCTTCATGTCAGTCACTCTGTGAGGTCTTTATCATTGGTGAGTAGTAGCTGCTCAGAATTAGATTAGGGAGGAACGGCTTCAGTAATTCTTCAGCTAAAATGTGCTGGTAGATAATGAGAGTTGTGGGGACGTGTGCAGAGAGAGGCACTGGGCAAAGCATGATTGGTTAGACATGATTGCATGGAAAAGCAGGGGGGTGGAGGAGAGGAACACAGGAAATGAGCCCCCCCCCAACCCACCGTCAGAGCCCCAATTATTGCAGTCTCTTCGTCTGGAGAGGGTTTAAGGGTGGAAATCAGTGTAGCACAGACAAATCCACGCTGCTGCCTTTATTTCCCAGGGTACCTCCATCTTTAATGGCAGCTCTAATTGACTAACAGCACACGTGGGGAGCCGCCACACTGATGACTGTCCGCTGCACTGGAACAAGGCACAGCGGCAAACAAAACAAACACACCCCTTCGAGGTTTTTGCTGCATTGTGCATTGTGCAAACAAAGATGAAAAAAAAGATGTGCATTGGGCTGCAGCAAAGGGAGAGTACAGGAGGGGGGGGTACAGCAGAATGTCAGCAGTCTGCCTACACAATAAGCATTTGTGCGTTATGCTAAAGAACGAGCCACACTCAC